TTCAAGTTAGAGTTAGAGCATAACCCCCTGCCCAGTTCACGTAGATGAAGTGCGTTCTTGGTTGGATGCAGATGTTCGTCGCGGTGCAAGTTTAAATAAATAAATAAATAAATAAATATATATATATATATATATATATGTAAATGACCGCGAGAGCACCATGAACACAACACGAAGCAGAAAGAAGGCGGGAGGCAACTTTTGCATGCCCTTGTAAATACTTGTGTAGTGAATTTTATGAACTTGTAATTTTATACAAGTTTGTGAACTTGAATAAATTCATGTACATATAAACTTAAAAATACGTGAATTCACGCATTTTTATTCATGAACATATGAATGTATTCACTTATGAATTCAGGCCTTCGCGCAGAATGCAAAGTCTGCAGCGGGGAAATCCGGGGGCTCCAAGGCACCTCGGGGCCGTTCAAAGGCTGCGGCGTTGGCGGAGATGGATGTAGAAACGATGTTCAAGCAAGAGGACTTGAACAAGATACGGCAATTGCTTGACAGAGTGATGCTGCGACGACTGAAGGAGCAAGCGATCGCATTGCCGCGTAAAGTATTTCATGATATCTGGCTGCCTATATCCGACTTGAGTGCAAAGTGGTATCGTAGACTTCTTGAAATTAAATCTCTACAAGAAGAAGCACGATCCAACTCCGCCAGAGTCAACTTCAGAAAGATGCTTGGACTCGTCATCAAGATGCGCATCCTGTGGTATGCTCCTTTGTTGCTGTTTTTTGAAACTCGAAATTCACATCCGTAGAAACGCATTTAGGCTAGCAAGCAACATTTTCTCTGTCTCTGTCTTCTTGTATCTGATTCATGTTCTTCACTTGTCTGTTCTTCGCTTTCGCTTCTTAGCTTTGCCTCAGTCTGCTCCTTGTGTGTTTCTCCTTGTGTTCTTTCATCCTTCTCCATGTCTCCGTCTGTCTCCTAGTTTCTGTTTCTCTCTCTATCTCGGTTGAGTAACCCCCTCTTGTGTATGCTTGGTGGTTCAAGAACTCCATGCAGTGGAACCGTTTCTTTTTTGCTGCTTTGTGTTCAGCGCGCACCCCAAGNGGTGGTTCAAGAACTCCATGCAGTGGAACCGTTTCTTTTTTGCTGCTTTGTGTTCAGCGCGCACCCCAAGGGCGTGTGCGCAAGGGAGTCACAGCTGCAGCGGCTGCAGGCCTTCTTTAGCCAGGAGGATCCAGCGCTGCAGGAGGAGGTGACGAAGGCGGCACGGGAGCTGCAGGCTGTTGAGGGTGCGGCGCATCTCGCTGGGTCTTCTAAGTTGTTGTTTTTAGACAAGCTGATGTGTCACCTGCACTTCTTGAACTGCAAATACGTGCCGGCTTATGAGGTGAGCGCAGCATAGGGCAATGTTGCTGCTGCACCTTTGCTTTCACTGACACTCTCGCTTTGCTGCTGTTGCTGCTGCTGCTGTGCATCTTCGCTGCCCTCGTACTTGTTCCGTGTTTTGAGTTTTTTTTTAAGAGCGTTCGCTGAAACGCCAGTTTCCAACCGAGGCTTTGGTGCTGTTACTGCTGCTGCTGTGGGTTGGCGAGGCTTTGCTGCTGCTGCGTGTGTGTTTGTGTGTGTGACGTCCTGGTGCTGTTGCTGCGCGGGTGTGCTGCAGCGGGACTACATGGCGCACAAGAACGACGCTGCTACTTACGAGTTTTACAAGCGTCACGAGGAGGCCGTTCTGGCGGCGCTTGCGGAGGGGAGGAAACCCCCGAGGCGCCCCAAGCGTAGCGAGTTGATGGGAATACCGGAATACAGAGCCTTGTTGGAACGGGGGATGCCAAGCAGAGATATGACAACCGCAAAAGATGAGGCGTTTCTTAAAGAAGGACTCTTTGCTGCGGAGCCCGTGATGCCGACGAAGGAATCCTGCAATCCTGAGCTACAGGAGCGGAAGAGAGGACAGGGAGAGCACGAAGACGCATCTGAAAACGAAGCGCCAGAAGAAGGGAGTCAGGAAGTCGTCGATGCAGATGCATCAGATACAGAAGGAGCCGCAGCAGCAACCCCTCAAGAGGACCAGCCACGAAGCAGAGCCGAGCGGCGTTCCCGGAGAAACCTCATTGTTGACGACGAAGATATGGAGCAGGCTGATGGTGGCGCAGCGGCAGCAGAAACTCAGGAAACAGCAGCAGCAGCAGCAGCTGGGGGAGGAGCTGACACCACTCTTCTAACCCCAACAGCTCCAAAAGCCGCTCAGGAGTCCGGGGGGGAAAACGAGGCGGCGGCGATAACAGTGAAGAGTCCTCGTGCGTCTGAGGAGAAGAGAGAGGGAGATGATAAGAGTAACCTGCCCACCGCCTGCTGTACCGGCAGCCCCGCGAGCCACAAAGATCACAAAGAGAGTGTAGAGGCACTCGACGCGCAGCCGGTGAAGGCAGAGCCAGTCGTCAGTGCTGCACCACAAGCACAGGCGGAGGACACAAAAAGGGAAGCACCCGCTGCAACAACACTACCAACAGCAGCAGCAGATGGGCAAACAAAGGCGCAGCAGGAGTTGTCGCCCGAGAGCGATCGCGGGGATCTCAAGAGCGGAGGGGAGAAAGCAGCTAAGGC